TCTTTCACCCGCATTTCGTCTGTTTTCGTAAATCCTCTCCCCCCTCACTTCTTCTCCTCCTCCTCACCCCATCCATCACTATTCCTCTCATCTCCATCTCGTCCGTTCGCTTCTCTTATCGACATGTTTCCATTTTCTAAACTGCTCTCACTCCATCATATTCACTCTGCCTTTGATGGCTATTTTTCATTGTATCTCTTTCTCTCACTTTTATCTCATGCTCTCCGGGTTCACCTCACTCCTGTTCTCTCTGCTTTTTCCCTGGTGGGCTCTATTTCACCCGGCCCACCAGGCCCCAGGTGGGCAAGGCTGACCTTGTCAGGGCTGTCGACTATAGGTGGAAGCAGCGTGGGACGGTGTCCTCCAGGGCCCGCCAGAACGGGGCAGCCAGGGGAGACGTGTCACTATGCAACAAACTAAACTTTTCCTCAAGATGAGTTGTGATGAAAGCATCAGAAAAGAAGAAGGACAAGCAAAAGAAAAAGATAACGGAGATCAAGCGAGTTCCCCTCACCAAACAGTCTTTTGCATTTAGTTGACATGTTGGCTTTTTCGTAACTGTGGTTTGATCCAGTGCCACATGTCCTTCTGTCTTGGTTTCAATGAGATTGTATCTAATAACTCTTTATCTGTTATGCCTTTGTTTCTGATCCTCTTTCTTTGTGCCTACCCATAATGCTCTCTTCCTTCTATGTCTCTTTCTCTTTCTCGCTCTCTCTCTCCCCTGCTGTTCCTGTCTTTTTCCACGCTCCTCTGAAACTCTGCCAGCCAACAAGTGCCACAAAGCATTAGGACCAAACACTATCAGACGCCCTTCTCAGGCACATCCTACACATCAGCCCCGACCCCCACTTATACGCACATAGACACACACACAGCGTCCAGCACTTCCTCACACCATGTGCCAGACTAGGTGACAGAAACAGAGTGTACATTTAGGCCTGGGGAGGTCTTATTCACAGTGTCAGCCTCTCCCAGATACTACCTCTCCTGTAAAAATAAAATAAAACATAGAATACACTAGCCCCATTTATAATTCAAAACACATCCACACAGTTATATATGCACGCACATGCCATGCCATCTCAATACATTCATAAATGCCTGCATATGTTCATCCACAATGCATCTTTCAAATGCGTAGTCACACATACGGAAGAGTACATTCACGTAAGTATTCACACGCGTAAACATCCCCTCTTTCAATTTCTGCCAGTAACACAAACACACACACAGATCAGCACAGGCTACATACACAATAGCAAATACCGTACACAATAGCAAACAAACAGTCATTAGTAGATTTCAGGCTGCCTCTCAGTTCTGCTCTACTCTGTTGTTGGTGTTCTCGTGCCTCTGGGGTGGCGCCGCTGCTGTAGGTTTTAATAAAAGCATTGTCTTTGGAAGCTGTCTAAAGGGACTCAGTTTCATTTTGGAGAGCTGCTGCTGCTGTTGCTGTGGATGCGAATGTGGGAGGAGAGAGGGCTATTGCGTTGGGACGTGGGGGCGGCAAGGTTCAGTGTCATTGCTGGGCCCTCCAAGGACTGGTGCTTATTGTTTGATAGTTTCAATATACAATGTGTGCAAGCGTGTATGTCTGTGTGTGTGTTCTGTGGTCATGGAAGCACATGAATACATTTCCAAACTTGCCTAGAAGTCAAAGTAAAAGCCTAGAATAACCCACAACTTTAACACTCCAACAGCTGTAACAATTCGACTCTATGTTTGTATTTTATGCAAGACAGGATATCATAGAAATAAGCCCACATACATTCTGAGCAATCTGGATGACAGGCGTAGAAGCACTCTCTCTGTGTTTTGAGATGGGCTTGCTGTTCACTAGCCTTATAAAACAAACAGTGGAGGAAAGAAGCACTATGTGTAACTGCTCCACTCATGAAAGCATGTGCCATCCAGGGGACGCTCAGGATAACGAGCTATTTCGATACGACACACAGGTGTACATTACCTCTTTGGGCTGACCAATCTGTGACACCCTCTAGTCAATAGTTTCTCCATCTGTCAGCATACAAACACCTCTGAAAGAGCCCCTTAAGGAGACATTTGTGTCATTTATGATGGACAACAAATGCCTGCTCTCAACAGGAGCACATTGAAACGGCCATGATGAGGTCAAATCAAACGTTATTGCCTAAGTTTGGCGCCACACAATTTGTTTGCTTCCCCTCTGTTTTCACTCTCCCACAGGCACCTTCAGATCCCATCAGCTGAAGCATCATGGGCACATCCTTAAAGAGGCAAATGGAAAGAATGGGTATGGCTATCTGGAACCATGTAGGAGAGGAACATTCTAATTGTCCCTTTAAGTGTGTTCCCTCCTGTGGAGTGAAGGTGCAGGCTAACGGCCATCTTAAATCACAGCCTGGCCGTGGCCTTCATTAAAGCCATAATGCCGAGCTCTACCTTTAATGGAAATGGAACTCAGCGAGGCTGTGGGTGTAAATTAAAGTGTAAGGCCTTAGTAGGGAAAGATTTCCCCAGCTCTGACAGGTGCGGCCTGAATTAGCTGTAGTGCTGTTCAAGCAGTCAGTGGGAGAACACTGCTATTGATTTTAAGCACTGTTGCACTTCCTATCTGAAAGGGAATGTGTATTACTAGAGCTAGGCACATCAATCACTCAGCATTCCACCACTCTCCCCTGGCACGCTTCAGATTTTAAAATGATAAACAAACAGAAACAGACCAAAACAAAAGACATCACATGCTGTACTGTTCCTGTATGGCTGATGTGTATTAGCCTAGTCAAATATACCTGTGCATGCATGTAATTGGTTCACTTCATCTCATCTTCCTGTTAACAGGATGCCATCTCTATTCATGGCATGTCCTGCATGGCGTGTCACCTTGGTCAAACAGCTAGCGTCAGCTCCTTGCGCTCTGGCTGTGGCCCACTCCCATGTTTACGACCTGCATGTGTCAGAGTTGTTACATGCATGCGGTGCAGCCATGCAGTGCGCTGCCTCTCTGTGTATGACCCTGCTGCTTATCTCTGGCTCCCATCATGCCCCACTGACCCTGTCTACAGGCACTGGCAGGGGGAGAATTAGCCTACTTAGCCTATTCCCCACAGGGGTCAACCCACACGCAAACAGCACACACCCACAAACAGATGCAAACACACTCGCCCGCATGCACCCGAAGATGTGCGATGACAAATGATAAGGCAGCACTTAACCACAGGTGTCCCCAGTTTGACCTTTCACCCATGACCTTGAGTAAAAAGCTTTTCATATAGAAGCCATCCATCAATCATCTCCCATCAATCACACATACATGCCGCACCCTTTCACTCCCCCAACCTCTCCTGGCCCCAACATCCATCACAATGCTGTACCCTTTCACTGACATCTGGGAAAACACAAACACTTCACACAACCTCTGTTGGTCTAGAAACACACACATACAGTGAACACATACACACACATACATCCCGTCGTGCATTGACGGCTGCTCTAAAACATTGAATGTGTTGTTGTCAGGTGATCTCAGGTATAGACTAGGGGCTGCTCCCTGGTGACACATTTGCTGAGCACCTGCACTGAGACATGACATGGGGCTGAAATCCCAGAGCGCTCTGGCAGCTGAGACCACAGCGTAGCAGACAGGGAAAGTCACTAGATCAAAAGTGTCTCTCGTTTCACACATATGTCAAATTTAGGCTGTCTTGTGCTGCAGGAAGCCAGCGCCATGACATTCTGATACCCTTCACAGTCCTTCACCTTTTATTATATCCTTTTCGAGCCTTTCATATTTGTGATTTAGTGTAATTTAGGGCAACATAACAGCACCTGTATTTTCTGTGGAGAGTAATCAAATGAATACCAACTGTAGCAAAATACGCCTAACATTATTTTCATTTTTCGTGAGTTGAAGAGTAGAAAGAACATTCTTGATAAAAAGCAGGTGAGCTCATTGCTCTTTTGGCCCGTGCTCCATAATTAAACCAGAGAAGGTATTGTAATTGGCAGTGTCTTTATGCAGAACTATTATCAATGTCCCTCCGAGGCAGCGGAGAAGAGGAGGGGTGGGGAGAGGGATGAGACGAATGGGTTCTATATCAGTGAGCCCAGGGTCCATTTATACATGGGTGAGGAATGCGAATAAAGCCAGCGTAGCCAGTCCACATTGGATAAACATAGAAAGGAAGGTTTTACACATTGAGCTGATTCAAAATGCATGAAAATGTTAACTTAAGTAAAGGGGACATTGTGTTAACAGCTGTAGCGGTGAAGTGATAGTGTGGTCTGTCAGTGAAACAGTAAAATACGAGCCAGTCCGAGAGCTGTCTGCCACTGTCACATGTAGAGAAATTGCTATTACAAGGCCACATGCATTATTAATTATTATTCTACATAAATTATATAATTACATCGCAGCCAAAGCAGCCAGAAATTCTATTCATTTGCTGACATTAAATGGTCCATGTTTGCTGAAAAGTCAATGAGAACGTGTCCTTTATGTGCAAATTGGCCCTATATGTTTCTGCATATATTAACAAAATACATTAAGTGAATAGCTGGCAACCCTTTTGTAGTTGAATTATTACAGTAGCTCTTGGCATTTTGTTCCACGTGTGGGTGTAACGTCTGACCCAGACAAACACCTCCAGCTCCAACCATGTTATTAGTGGAGTGTTGAATGTGCGGACCGATAGGAACACATTAACATTACATTCAAAGCAGGCACCAGTGCATGTTATGTTAATTGACTTGCTAAAAGGCAATTATTAGTCAATATTAATATTCTATCATTTATCCGAAACCTGTACACTTTTCTGAACAGCCATCAGCAGCCTGTAATATTAATCATCCTACACTGAACTTGAAGAAGGTTGCAAGCTATGCATAAGGGAAATGCTCTTGAAGAAAAAAATTATGTAAAGCTAAAAATGTAAATGCAGGCTCCCTGAATGTAATATTTTTAAGGCTATGAATCTTAACTTGTGTTTTAAAAGAGGGCAGATGTGTAATTGTCTTACCTTGTTTTAGGGGATGTCGTTAGCCATTCTTCATGCTTTTCAAATGTTATCAAGTAAGCTGCGATCTCCTGTGAAAAAGAAAAGAGAGAAGAGAAGAAGGGAGTGAGGCTTAGATATGTCATCTTTAATCACTGTTCTCTTGTGTTTGTAATACATCGGTGAGACTGCTTCATTGATATTCAGACAGTCTTACCGGCAGCGCAAACACAGGAAAGACGGAAACAGGGGCAGTGTCGGGGAGCTCAGGCAGGTAAACGGAGACTGGTAAAAGTAAAGTGAAAGACAGAAGTGGAACGCGGCTGAGGTCAGATCATCTTCTGAGACCATCTTTGTTACGAAAGCTTTGATCAACTTCTCCTCAGAGGACATCAAGGTGCTCTGAGAAAGATTGATGTCTCTGTGTTTAAGAGCGAGCAGCTTTTAACATTTTTGGTCCGATCCTCCCCCAAATCCCTTTGATCTGCCCTTGACACTCCTCTATGGATCAATCCATTCTTTAACCTTTGAATAATAATTACACGCCAGTCTCACAATATTGACATGTGTGTGTACTGCTGATACAAAAAACGGGTGTAAATCCTTCAGTCAGTTGTGTGCAAAGAGATGTAGACACTGAAGTTAAAGAAGTCCAAACTGCCACTGGTATAATAGAGATACTTCAAAGACTTTTATGTTTCCCTTGCTCGCCGTGCCTACTGCATCAGTGTGGGAGCACGATAGACCATACCATGCCATTTTCTCACCAAACTAATGGGTAGAATAGATAAAAGCACTTTGGATGCTGGTGGACGACCTAATGATTACCAGTGACACTCTTCAGCACTCTTCAGCAAGAACATTTGTCAGCTTCTCAGACAGTAAGAAAGCGCTAGACACAAGCACAGACTTGCTGCCATCTTCAAGAAAAACATCATCTTTTTACTTTCTAAGGATGTGCATCTCTCCTCAGGTTGGAGTGTCAACAAACCTTTAAGTGGAGATATGATACTTAAAGATTGTCTCACTTGAGTTCGGCCATAGACTGTATTTATTTAAAGATTTGGGCCTCTTCTGGGCATTTTTGTTGTTGCTTGGCCTGTCCACACGGGGCAATAATGTCTCCAAAGATACCAGCTTCCTCAACAGCAGGACTTGGAAAAATATCAAACAGCACAGAGCAATAACTAAAACCGGAGATGTTTTTTCGTTTCCTTTTTCCTAAGTATTCTCCACTGTAATAAGGCTCCCATTGTCTCATCAAGGCTGTGTCACAAGTGATACCTGGCGCAGAGACCCAGCACTGTGGCCCTTAGGGACCCTGCAGGGCGCTGCAGTGTGAGGGGTTCCCAGGCTGGCGGGGGTCCCAGAAGAGAGGGGGTGGTAGCATGACTGGCAACCTTGCCTCCAGGTGCAGGCAGGGAGATAATGCTGCGTTGATTAACTTCCTGTTCTCCTGCCATAATGACCGGAGGCAGTGAAGCCATGAGAAGATGAATTGAGAGAAAGATAGGAAGTGGATGAGGCTGTCAAGAGGAGCTCAGGGCAGCTCTTCTGCTGTATGACAGAAAAAAACACTGATGAAATGAAAAGTAAGTAAAACCTAAAGTCAAGAACCTTGTTGCTGGAGTAAGCAAAACATATTCTCTTCAGGAAGTTTAATGTTAGCCGTGCCAACAGTTATTACAATGTTCGCAGGGAAAGAAAAAAGGGTCACAATAAACTTTCTTCTCTGCATACATTTCTAAGTAAATGAGACTAACACGGCAGTGATTAGATTAATCCCTGCTATTCTGTGCTCATTTTGGGAAGGATACATGGCAGCAGGAAGCTCCTTCAGTGACCTCTGTGTTAGCACATATCCCCTTCCATCACTCTTGTCTTTAAAAAGCAGCCACAGCCCCGGCCTCAGTGGCAAAGAATGAAATAGAGGGCCGCATGGTCTCGTATTTAGAAAAATAAATAAAATAGAAGTGAGCCTCTACCTCTGGCTCTTTGCGCACCCCTCCCTCTCTGAACAGATGCCAGGGATTATTCCAACCCCCCGACCAACCATAAAGGTGCAATAATCTTATGGTGAGGAAACAAACAAAAACAGACGTGCAGCCATTAAACAGCTGCAAAGAGACAAAGTTTGCATGGGCGGCATAATGAGAGGCTAGCGTGCGTTCAGGTTGAACAAACACGCTTTGCCGGTTAGTGCAAGAGGGGCGGCAGGGGGGGAAGCGGTGTGCTGAACACTGATGGTGCATCAAAGTCAAACCAGCAGCTGTCAATGGGCTCCGGACTCTATCTGCTGACCTCAGTGCCTCTGGCCTGCTCTCCCTCACTGGGGAAATATTCAGAAGAGCCCTCTGTACACACAGCTCCTTCCTCTACCTCCTAGGTCAGAATCCTGCTTGTGGAGGGCTGTGTGTACTTCCTTTATGCCTCAGCCTCCCCACTGACATGATCTTAGCTGAGGTTTTTATCTCCAGGTGCTGAAATATACTGTACCAGTATTCTGCTTTACATCAAAGCAAACTCCCTTCCAAGACTGATCTAAATAAATAACAATCAGCACAAGCTACCGGTGAACCAGAGAGTGAGTATGAGCAACACCTCTTCTAATTGACACGGTGGTTGCAAAAAGGGGGGGGGGGGTGTTCATTTTCCAGGGGAGAGAACAACCCCGAGCTGTTTGTTGTAACCCAGCCATCTCATTTGTTTCTTTTGTCACTGTAAAAGCTGCGACACACTGTTAGCACAGGGGGCCGCCCCAGAACATGACGAAGCAGTCTAGTTTCAGGGCTGTTGGAGATAGAGAGTGCAGAGTGTTTGTGTGTGTTTCGTGTTACAATCAGACGAGCTGATTAGTGGTTACCGGCCTGGGCCTGGCACGTTATTAACATGCTCTTCAGAGATGTCACTCCTGTACTCATCAGTGTGTCTCCTCTCTTCTCATTATGGTCCTTGGTCTTGGAATGACCTTCAATCAAGCCTCAAACTGATGGCACTTGTCCCTATAGCCTGTTTTAAATTGAAGTTTACTAAGGTCCTAACCACCAGCTGCTCTTGCAGTAATAAGTAGTGCACCTTTCCCAAATGTGCACAATGTAGTGACTGCTTTTGGTCTTTTGTTTACTTAGTTGTGTTCTCTGTATTTTACTTGTCTGTGTTATGTGTAATAATGTGTAACGTTGCTGCCTTCACGGCCAGGTCAGCATTGTAAGTGAGATTGTATCTCAATGCTTTTATCTGGTTAAATAAAAAATAAAAAAATAAAAAATCCTCCACAGACCTTCTCCAATATATGAATCGCTCACTTACTCTCATTTCTTCTTTTTATTCCTTCTTTCCCATAACCGCTGAGGTGAAAAGGAAAGCCACTATAAGAAAAATATATCATTTTGAAATGACTGGCTTTTGCCGTCTCGCCTTTCAGAGGATATTTTCACTCAGGAGGTACAACATTTTCTCCAGAGAGAATCAGCTTTTGGCAAGTCTACCTATTTGAAATTGGAGATAACTCTAACATATTCATCCAATTTCACTTCTTTGCACCAAAGAATAGGGATGAAGGAGCGGGAAACTCTTTAAATAAACACTTTTTGTCCCATATATTGATTGTCTCAAAGTTAGTTGTAATGGCAATTTTAGGATCAACTATTTGTAGGCTCAATCAAATGGATTGCATTAGACCCTCACCCTTTCCTACTACACAGAAGCCATTCAAACATGAAGCCGGTGTTTGATGGAGATATTATTCTACAGTGGATTCACTGTCCCAGGATCACCTGAGGCTAGATTGTTTTTCAGTTCCCTCTGATTCCCTCTCTCAGCAGCATCTTTGATTTATGGGAGAAAAGAGAGGTGTTGAGAGGACCAATGCTCCAGCATTTGGCTGACAGACCTCATCACTTGAAACAACTGTCGCTGTTCCATTAGAAGGAGAGATAGGAGTCTTTTGGCATTATCGCAGGACGCATCAGACACCTGTCTCTAAAAACCATCCATAATGTGTCTCCTCTCTTTCTGCATCCACAGCGTATTTGAGCTGACAGAAAATCAGAGGTGGGAACAATACAGCACTGGGAACAGGGACAACACCCTGCATTTCCCTTCATTTGAATACCAAATCTTACATCATTGTCTGAGAAAGCAATCTTAGCTTTAAAACCTCTAGATTTACTGGACACATTATGTTAAACCACAGAGTAATGAGTCATCCATTGCGAGCTCAGACATTTAAATCTTCATCTCCCGAAAAAAGAATTCAACAATTACACCACATGTTTGCCCATTACTGTATTATTCCAGTTATACTGATTCTCCAGTGACACTAATGAAAAGGCACTTAATGAATAGCCATATTAGAAAAACTAACTTTAGCAACGCTATTGATTGCAGTAAAAGCTTGAGCTAATGAAATGAATATGAGAGGAGGAAGAAATGAAAGAATAGATGGAGCTAAGTGTAGGAGGGGAGGAGAGTACAGCGCCTCCAGGCTGCCTCGTGGTGAAGTCTGGGGAGTGCATCCTCAAAGCTTTGACCTTGCACTGCACTTGAAAGCAGGAAATGGATGAGAGGGGGGCCAAGAGATAGATACTGAGAGAGGAGCCCTCCCTGATGACCTGGGTTTTGCAGTGGAGTGCCAGGTCATCTGATATTTCCTCCAGGACTGCCCAGGAAAACCAACCTGCCCAGGGCCCGGTGCAAATGGACTTGGGGGGATTTGGTGTGGGGGGGGGTGAAGTTCCGGGCTATCACGAGATTACACCAGAAAAAATTCAAATGCAATTAGACACAGACGAGATAGAGACTGGCACTAAAGAAAAGGGGTGGAGAGGGAGGGTGGGAGTATTACTGAAAAAGTAGAGAATAATCAAAAAGAGAAAAGAGGAACAAAGTTTCAAGTTTTTTTTCCCATGACAATGATAAATGCATTTCAGACAGGTGAAGCGTGAAGGTATGGTGATTAAAAAAAGAACGCTTCGGTTCGATTCTGCAAGCAAAAGCACCTTTGCTGAATCATTTTGGGCTTTTTTTGTTTATACTTCATGAATTCTTAATGCACTAGCAATAATGTATCACACACTGTATCTATGTAATCTCATATGGCCATATTACTCTTTCAAGCCAGGGGAAAGTAGTGGGTAGAGAGAAA